TGCATTGACCTCCAGTGGTTTGGAAAATTTTTTGGTTCAACATCAGTCAGGTTCCAGGGGTGCTGAACTAGAGGGGTTCAATGTGTACTTAGATTTAAATAAGGATGTATCGAATGCAAAAGACAGTTTTCAAGTACATAAAAGGAGGAGGGTGAAAAACTGTTTTCTTTAAACTCTGAGGATAAGATAAGCAATCTGCTTAAACTGCAGTATGGGAGGCTTAGGTTTGACATTAGGAAATACATTCTAATTGTCAGCATAATTAAGTGCTGCAACAAATTCCTTAGAGCAGCAGTGGAAGCTCCGTCATTGGAAATTTTTAAGAACAGGTTAAAAAGGCAACTGGCAGGAATGGTCTAGCTATTCTACTTTGAGTGCAGAGGACTGGACTAGATGACCTATTGATATCGCTTCTAGTCCTACACTTGATTGATTAAATAATTAGATGAAAATATAACACTAGCAAGAGGTACCTTGTTCACCAATTCTGGAAGATAGCTTCTGCACACCTTTATACTAGTCCCGCTGGTAGCAAAGTCCTAGAAAATCTTAGGGGGGAGAGATGTTCAGTTACCCTAACAACCCTAATGCTGGCCCATCTCTGTACTTCTCAACTCTTTTGTAAAGCCAGTCCTGGCAGGCTAAGAATCAGAGCTCAGATCATCACCTTCAGAACCAGAGTCTCTTGTTCCATTCCACTTTGGAAGTTCTCTCTCTGATACCGAGGCTCCTGACACAATTTAGATCCATACCTGCAGTGTGATGAAATCAGGCTCAAGTTAGACCCCTTTCCTTGAGATTGCTGGTGTACCTTATTCATCTATCTACATCCGTTTTAAAAACTAATCCAATACAGCTACATTTGATAGCTATTTTGATCTATCATAGCCTAAGGTAGACCACTGTCTTTATATCCCCTTATTAGCAGGTTCAGGTGGGGCTTGATACTTTTAAAGCCCATGTTCCATTATAAAACTTCTGTTGCTGAATATCAATGTGGTCCTTAAATAGTGGATGAAAGCTCCTGTTGAATTCACTTCTTGTAGATTTGACTGTCTTACATGACAATTTTCTTTATGACAGTGGCATCAGCTCACAGTGAAAGAGAACTTTAGGGTCCAATAAGTGATTTGCCTTTGTGACAGTCAAGCTGGATAGCTGCAAAAGAGTGGTGGAAGGCAGGTATGTTAGCCCTAGAATGGTAAAGGTCCTTTTTCCTATGAACTGAGAAGAGGTTACCTCAAGTCAAATAGGGACACATGAGTCCAATTAAGTGCTGCCTGAGACCTTTAAAAATCCTTCCATTGGTGAGAGAGGTAGAAGACAGACAAGCTGCTGCAGGGAGAATGTCCATTGTGTTTCCTTCTGGGGGAACAACTAAAGCTGAGTACCTGTGTAGGGGAAGGACTGATACTCTGGGGCCAACAAGAAGACACCACCACCTAGTGAGGGGACAAGGAAAGATATCCCTCTGTGGTTTGTATTTGTAAATTGTGGGGGGGGGTTCTGTTTGCTGGAGGAGTAAGCCTTGAGCCTGCCTGAGGCAAAATATAGAGAGGAAAGACAGACTCTGTCCAGAATTAACCTGTTTTATCCCAAGCATCACTACTGCCAGAGGGAGAAGCACAAAGTGTGGGAAGACAGAGCAGTTGCTTTAACATGAGATGATATGAACTGATATGGTGATATTCTTCTCCAGAATGATGATGAAGTTCCAAAAACATCTGAAAAACAGATGTACAGACTTCTCTGCCCATGATGATTTACAAAGCACTATTACATGTATTTGGCATTGCGGGGGGGAGCGGGGGGAGAGAATATTATTGTAAACTCTTCATGCTCCAGAACTAGTTTCCAAGGTAGAAAAACCCAAACATCCCTCTCTCTCAGAATGATTTGCCTTATTTCATGAAGTCCCGTGTTTTCGGTTACATTTGTTCAGTTAGATTCGTTCTTTGAGGAGATTACTCTCTAGGAATGAGACTCCTGAGACAAGCAGCATGTTTATGAAAGAGGAAATGATTTAAAACTTGTGATTCTACTTCTCTGAAAATATCATCTTGCAGAATTCTCATTTATCTATACACTTCCCCTCAGATTTGGAGTTTACCTCTGTTTGAGGGTTGGTTTTTTTTTTAATTATTATTTTCTGTTGATCACCTTGAACTGTTTAACGGTTTCATTCTTTCTGGAAGCTTCATTCTACACTCAGTGGATGCATTTGACTGAAATGGCCAACGGGCAACATTTATACTCTGTAAGTAGCAGTGTACGACATCCAGTAGGGATCCTGGCTCATGTATCCCCCCTGATAATACTGCTTTTAAAAAAACTTAGCTAGGAGAGTTTTGCTCATCTTGCATTGAAAAGCCAGAATCCATGAATGAAAATCCTGCAACGATGTTGTTTCTTCAGAGAAGCAGAATTATGTACGTCATTTTCCCTTTTCTCTTCAGGTTTTTCTTTCCCTCCATCTCCCCCACCTCCATGCATGTAAACACCTCTGATTGCTGTCAGTATGAAGATTTTACTCTGGCATGGGGAAGCAAATAAAGCCATGCCACCAAGTCAGTATCACTATCTGTGCTATTCTATGAATGTGCCAGTATTAAGTGCTTTATTATAGTGTCTTTGGAGTCTGGTTCGGTTGCTAGAATTTCACTAACCTGAGGCTTAAGGCAGCTCCTGAAGCCAAGTCACTTGCCTCGCAATTTAGTGCTGCTTCTAAATCACAGTCCTGCTTCTTCCATCCCTTCTTGAATACTGGATGTCTCCTAGCCTTTCACATGGCACTCACCAAAATCTTTTCCATTTCACTATTACAGCCAGGCTGTTATCCAGCTACAAGGGCCAAGTTAATCACATATCCAACTGTTTCTAAGCCAAGCTGAGTTCCTTCTAAATTCCCTTCCTCCTTCCTTTTTCCTTTGAGAGCAGTTACAGAGCCCAGAACATTCCCCTCTGTCTTCTCCACCCACTTCCCCAGCTCATGTCATTTTGAGAGTCATGATCAGGTTGCTTTTGCATTTGTGATTTTTGGCAAAAGCCTCTCTCAAAAGTATATTACATAATCATTAACCTTACAAAACTGTTGTAGTAATATTTAATAGTGTTAGAAATCCTGCATTTTGAAAGTAGAGAAACCGAGCTACAGACACTGCAAAGAACGGTAACGTTTTATTCAAAGCAATGTCCTGAAAAGCATCAGAAATGCTGAGAGAACTTTATCTACCCATAATAAATATGTTAGTCCTAGCAATAAAAACAAAATGTAAATGTTTTACATTTAATCATATAGTGGTTATCTTCATGATCATACTTAATCACAAATAAGAACAAACTTAAGGTCCTCATTTCCCTCTTTTTGTTAAGATTCGCTAATTGCACGTGTCATTACACACAGAACTAATTAGAGAGTTTGCCTATAGAACACCTGTTAAACATTTCATGAAATATAGCACTTAGTTGAAAAACACATTTTGGAATCTGTGCAATACATAAGGCCAGGGTTTGAGAATCCATTATTTCTTCTAGCCAACTTCTGATTGCAATTATAATACTGTAATGCAGAGTAATTGAACTGGAAACTTACAGGATTTTAACTGAGAAAATTTGGTCCTCATTGCACAGTCTGGACAAGGCACAGTGAATAAGACAGGAGATGTACTCTCTAAACAAAATAAGTATTTAATTTCCATACAGAAAATAAAATTTTGATTTAAAGTGGCTGTACTATGTTCAACATTCCTGTTAACTTCTGGCTTCAGAATTTTTTTCCCCTGTCCTTTTTGTGCACTGAATGAGGATGGTGTTCTGCAGAAATAATAGTACAGTATGTAGTTTAAAGTCTACGCAAAGGGACAGTTCGGTTATGCAAACAATTGTAATTTTGACTTTCTAACATTTGGGCACTTAACGATGCATCTTTGATATTCTCAGTTTTGGGTTTTTAATGAAATGTATATTAAAGAGAAGCACATTTTTTCAACATATATTCAACAAATAAAAACACTTCTGGGCTGGAAGCACTGAGACAAATTTCAGAAAAATGCAAATTACAATGGCCAAGTTCTAAATCTTTTAAGCAAAGGGGTTAAAAATGGCTTTGTAAGTTTCTTTCTTTGCTTGATTTCCATTCTTGCTGTCACAACCCACGTCAGCAGGAGCCAAGAATACAGTAGAAGTCTGTGTGCTGCAGTTCCCAAGGTGGAGAATGTAGGAATTACAGAGACCCATCACTCTTATAGTTGGGGTCAGTGCAAGACTATTTTTTTTCCTCACAGATTCTTACCTCCTTGCACTGTGCCACCTATTGACAGTGCTAAACATTCATAACTAATACCACAGATGTAGTTCCTACTTCAACAGGAACTCCTCTGGCTCGCAGAGGATGGGTTAATTTGCTCCCATATTGCTCTAGGGGCTTGTCTACATGGGGAAATTGAGTGTAATAACAGCTATTGCAAACTAAGCTGTTCCGTGACAGCTCCCTCTGTGGATACTGTTTCAGAACAAAAATCACTTTATTCCAGGATAATTGCTGTACTCACAAATCACAGTACTTATTCTGGAATAAAGTGACTTTTATTCTGGAATAGTGTATCCTCTCAAGGGCATTCAGGGAGATATTGCCTAATAGCTTATTCTGCAATAGATCTTCTGGTCTACTTCCCTAGACAGAATGGGAGTGTTACAGTGCTAGTCATCCAAGGCAAAAGAGTAGAGCAGGGAGTGGGGAGCTCAGGCTCCTCAGGGCTCTCTAACAAGCATGTGGAGGAGTAACCGGAGAAAAATATCAATGCTAGTAGTTCCCAGAGTGTTACACTGCAGCAGGCTTCCTCCCTAAAGCTGATGCTCAAGCCCAGATTTTGAGGCCTCTGAGGCACAAACTACATTTATGCAATTTGCTTATAATGCCCTCTATGAAGGGGTCCTGAGGCCCTGTCAAAATACAAATAACATTGGTCTAAAGTGTGATTTTTATTTTATTTTTTTGGCAGCTTCATGGTGAGTTAGAAAAGGCTGAGAAGGACAGCGCTGAGCTGCAGGAGTTTGCCAATGCCGTACTACAGCAGATAGCAGATCACTGCCCTGACATTCTGGAGCAAGTTGTCAACGCACTTGAGGAGTCGTCATGACGTCAGCTGCTAACCCAAACAGAGCAGCACACCCGGTGGCCAAGCCCAGGCAGTCCAAGAAGTAATGACCATGGAGAGAATTGTGAAAGAAGGACAAAGGAATAGGAAATTTTGGTGCACCTTTTACAAAGAAAGAAAACTTTATAAAAGTACATGCTATCTTGGTTCTTCCAGCCTATGATTACTGAATTATGTCTGCATTCATCCTCTCACTGCCTTTCTACTTTGGTATCTGCTGCCCAGCTAACTTTCTCTTGCTGGCATTGAGGCTTTTGGATATGTCTAAGCCGAGACTTGCTGAGTCCAGTGAGCAAGAAGAGGGCTTTTGGACATGAGTGGCTATGATTTTTCTTGAGGTTGAATGGGGGAGCATTTGTCTTTTGTGGCTGTTTTCTTTTCCCATATAAACTTAAAGCCTGAATTTTTTCATAACTAAAACTGAGAGGACACTGATAAAGGCCCAAAGATGGTCAGCATCATCTAGCTATCTCAGGATTTGCCTTCTATCTCTAAATTACTGATTTCTTATGAAAAGGGAAAAGTCTTCTTCTGTGGTCCCACTGGTCACTTCCATGCATTAACTGTAGGCAAGATAGGCATTCTTTTTGGCAGTTCTGTTTACTAGACTGGCTTTTTTCGGTATCTCCTAGTTATTGTGCATCATAGTGTACCTCATCTGTATCTCGTAAATTCTTCTTCCTTCAAACAGGCTCTGGGCAGCAGGGCACCTCCTTTACTTGACTTTTCTCCCTTACTATTGATAATTTTTCAGGCAGTGACTTTGTGACTGCTAATTGCCAGGAGAAAGTTGCAAAAGGTGTGACTTTTTTAGAGTGATTTATGCAAACTAGTAGAACAGGCTGTGTGGACACTCTAATTTAAATCAGGTTTATTTTTGTTATCTTAAGAATTGTTTGAAGCTAAACTGAAATAAGCCATTCTTAAAATAAGAGTATCTTCACTATGCTTTCCAGTGATTTAAGTAATTTGGTTTAAAATCATATCATTAGTTAAACCTATGCAACTTTTGTATGTATACGAGACCTTAGTCATGAGCTCATCCACCTCTTACCTTTACTAAATCGCTTGCTTATAAGTGATGTGATCCCACATAGCTGATTTGTTAGCAAATCAGATATCTGCATCATGGCTAGGACTGATTGTTCTTTCATGCACTTTGCACTAGCGTTGAAGACATGGCTTTGTTACAAGTCTTCAGTGAGTTACTTGTGAATACTCATAGGACAGAACTTCTTGGCATCATCCTACATGCCCCTTAAAGGAATTCTCCCCCCTTTTGAATTTTGGTGCTGTCGTATTCAAAGTTGAAAAACCAGAGTCTTGTTCCATTAAAGAAGGGGGGGGGGGGGAGGAGGATTTGGAAACAAATATCACAGTGCATAGACTGCTGACTCTTCAGCTGCTTTCCCAGGTTTGCATCAGTAGTCAATATCTTGACTTCCGGTGCCTCAGCTCTATTTTTAACTGATCTTTCAAATTCTAGAAATACCTGATATTAAATGTGCATAATCCAAGCCTTTAGGGCAGCCTCTCAGTAGATCGCTTTCACCATTTGGATCCTACAGGGTAATTTCCTGTCCCCATCATTACATTCTGAGCCTACATCACACAGCCCTTTCACTGCCCAAAATGCTGTAGTCCCTGTCAGCTAACCCCATTTCCTTGTCTTTCAAGTCTCAGAGCAGTTTTGTCCTCTCCTTTTTCCATTTTTAGGTTAACTAAGCCATCTCGATACAAAGATGATTGGCACAGATGTAAGAGGCAGCACTCACCCTGCGCATTTCTAAAAATAGCACTGAAGGTCAAGGCAAGAAAAGGCATTCCCATAACATACAATGAATAGCTTTAAAGTAAACCATGTCTAAGTTCATTCTACCTTTCCTGTTATGAAAGGACATAGTGGAACATCCATTGCCAACAGCAAGCCATTTAAAGGAATTCAATCCTCTCCTCTCCTTGGAATAAAATAAAACATTTTAGGGGGAACTGGATCAGTAATCTTGGTGTTAAGTGGCAAGATATGTCCCCTCCTGAGTTTCCTAAAATGTTCATATTTATTTGTTTTGAGCCTTTGTTGCTTTGCAAATAAGGAAATACAGCTTTAGTTCTCACTGGAGTAATCTCACAGGCAGTGTCTGATGCTTTTTGTCACAGAACAGGAAAGGAGTGGGAACCTGGCTGTTTGCAAGGGTGAAACATCATGTACCGGAAGGCATGTAGACAGTGACTGTACATACCACTGAACCATGCCTCATACCAGAGCCACTCCTTTGGCCTTATTATTTGAGTCAGCACATTTTGGAAGAAGCTGTTTTGAACTCTTCCCTCTTGCTTTTTCTTCATCACTTGTAATGTACTCACTTTAGGAATTTTAATGCTGTCTATAAACCTATCACAGCCATCATCATAGCATCTTCCCACCACTTCCTGACTGTCCCACTAGCTTACATGGTCCAATTTGCAGCTGGCCTCGTTCCCTGCTGTAAAACAATCCTCTTTCTGTGAGAAGCTGTGGAATTTCCTTATCAATGTTTCAAATGACTCCAACTCGTAAACCTCTTACTGAGATGCTCCTTGATAGTATTTCTGAGGGGAGGGGAGGGGAGTGAGTAGTGTCATTTGTGGCTATTTCAGTACTTTATTTCCCTTTATTGCACTACCCATAAATCACAAGAAAGCCCTGATTTTCAATGCTGAGACTTCGAGGGTCTTTAACTGAGCTGCCACCATGTGGCTACATTTCTGCACAACTGCAATGGCCTCAACAAAGGCATGCCAGTCTCATGACAGTGGGTGCAAGGTTTATGCAGTGAAAGCCATGTAAATCCTACTGTTTACACTCTCCACTGCTCCCAGCATGTTCTTTGGAGGAATTTGTCAAGCAGGGATAATTACCACAGTGGCCATTTGTTTTTTATCTTCAAGCCACACACCTGCTGTTCTTCTCCATCTGGATTATTGTGCCTTGCCTACATTTCCTTCCATTACGTATTGTTGTTTTCTTGGGCTCCAAGCCCTGCCTGCCACTGTGAACCATGATCTAAGCCCTCAGCAAAGTGATTTCAGGGAGTGAGCCAGATATCTGAGAACAGACTTGATCTGACTTGATCTCTAGTGAACTGCGGCTAATAACTGCTTTGATCCTGGTCAGATAGCGATAATGTCATGCTGAATAGCTCTGGGAGCTTTTTGAGTTAGGGAGAGATGGCTGGCCACTGAATAATACTGAACATGACCTGTCTCAACTCTTTGTTTTATTTTATGGCGTTCCATGCCATTGGCCTTAGCCAATGACATAGATTTAGATGACATAGAATCCATCATGAGATGTTGTATCATGCACATGGCAAAAGGGTAGGGAAGTCCACGTGCACATGTGTGCAGTCACTCAATTGCACAACTTTCATCACTGATCTTTTAAACTTGTATTTCCCCATCTCAGCTGCAAGCTCTACAGTGCAGTAGTAGTCCTGGCAAATTCATGTGCCCTTTTTGATTTCCTCCCCCAGAATCCAGTTTCCAAGGATAACCTTACAAAAAGAGTCTGCAGAATCTCGATATTCTTGCCACATTATCTGTTTGCTATAAAATTATGATGGGGTTTTATTGGAAGGGTTTCACCCTATTAAAGTGCTTATTTGTACAGAAGGTAAAGAACTGGAGAAACTCTTCATAGTAGATTAAATAGGATATGTCATCAGGATCTGAGTGTAGATAGAGGTGGAATTCCTCAAACCCCACATAAACCCTGACATTCATACCCTACCTAGTCACGATCCCTACAAGATAATTTCCTTTGCACCACATACAATTTAAAAACACTAATGAAAAGGACATTGCAACACTAGAACTGCAAAAACATTGACACTGTTTGTAATTGGAGGAAGAAATGACTGAGGTACATCCCATGTGAAACTCTAAACTTGTGGTATTGTGTCTTATGTGGACTACCTTTGGCCAGATCTCCCCCTAAGAAATGCCATGCTCTCTTTGAAAAATCTAAACATCAGGAAATTCCAAGTGGGTGGAGGATGAAAGTTACGTGATACAAGAATCTATATGTGCCGTTTCCATGTGTACTGCTGGACTAATACCTCCTCTAGCAATTTTTTGATACTTGGTGTCTTTTTTTTTTGTACCGGGGAAGAATGGAGACCTAATATCATAGACCCCCCCCCCTTCCCCATACCCCACACACACACTATTTTCTGAATCCAATGGTGTCTATTTTTCCTCACCCTACAACTCCCACCTATAGTGGCGGCTAATGTTTATTGTGTTGGGAAATTCTCACATCTGATAAAGGATAAATGGAACAGCCCACACACATCCCATTGTCAATCATTGCCATGAAGGTTTCCTTACATAGGCTGATGGGATAGAGAATCCACTGTTGATTCCAATATAAAGCAAAAGTTCCACTACATCACCAGTGTACATACACTACAAAGACTTCAATGAACTAAAAAGGAAAATAGTACAATCAAGATGTCTGGCATTGAAAGAAGCCCCTACGCAACTGAATTATCTGCACTGACCCAGACAGCGGAAACAGAAGGCTCTGGATAAATAACACTGCCCCAGTGAAGCTAAGGGGTGGGAGGCAATGAGCCTTCTTGGACTGTGCTAAACTGAGAGGATAAACTCTTCTCTGCCAATCACATAGTCGTGGCAGAACATGAGCGTCAGGTTTTTAAAACAAAATGTTTTTAATTGATTTTTTTTCACATAAGAAGGGGGTTCCCTATGCTATAGCAGATCCTTCTGAACAAAATGGCTGTGTCCACAATTTTTTTTTAAAAGGAAAGAAAACTATTTCAAAACTTTTTAGTGTCAAATGCATAAACACAAGAATCCTGACTTTTTTCCAGTGTGTGTGGCGAGTGCTGTAACCCTGTCATCGGTATTTCCCCTGACTTTTTCAGGGTATTTTTTTCTGTTTTGTTTTCTGCTTGTCAATATTGTCTGTGTGGTCCTATGACTGGGACAGTTACCAACAGTGTGTGTCTGTTGTCAGATTTTTAAAAAAAGCGATAGTAGTAGAATTGAAAAAGATGTGTTTTTTTCAAAATAATAATAAATGTAATTAAAAGGAATTCAAGTAATGATGCAGCAAAGTTCTGACTCCTCCTCCTAGGTTTGTAAGGAAAAAGATTTGTGGGCTCATGGTTATAATCAATTGCCTTTAACAGGCTAGTGACTTCAAAATTAATTTGGTCTCTTAGGAAATAACCCCATACTGTGTGATCCCTCTCCCTAGTTTTACACTGTATGTACTAACCACAGAGTATAGAAATGGGAGGGGAAATAGTATATTAGTATAGTCTTTGCTAGTAAAATTATTAGCCCAACTAGCTCTTCAGGCTATCAACTTGGATGCTATGGGTAAATTTTCAGACATTGACACTTGAATTGCACCTATAAATTATGTGAGCATGTGCAAATGCATATTAGCTTCTATAGTTACCAGTTGCATTGTGCAATACTTGTGTGGCAGGTGCCTGTTTTGAAAACTAGCCCTCTGTGTCCAGCATCTTTTGTGCTGAATTAAAGGGCTTCCAGCCTTTTTCTGCTCCAGTTGTTTTAAAGATTAGACTACATACTCTGTCAACTTAAAACAGCATATACAGTAAACAGATAAGTTTCTGTACTCCTGTTGTTAGTGATACCTTAAATTATTTTAAATGAATGTATTTTTTACAATTCTATTTTTCACTATGCTGTTTGATTACTTTTTGCACTTTTTCTAGTTAGGACATTGAAAACCAAGGCAATCAGTTTCACTTTTTTGACTAGCCATTTTCACTTTCATGCCCTCCATGCTCAGTTTGTTCAGTTAAAAATAAAAATCAGGGAACCATTTCTGTTAATAGTCTAGTATATAAATCTAAATTTCAAGCCAAACATGAGTTAGACACTGACCCTTTTACTCTGCTTTTTCCCATTCACCCAGCTCTCAGTGGTTCTGATCAGGTCTCAGTCTCAGTGAAATATATGTAATAATATTTTTGCTTTTTATCTAGTAACCTCAGTATTTGGGAAGAGCACTAACTTGCATGTGGCCTGTACTCTGTGCCAGAATTGTGGAACTTAAATTTTGAGTTCAGTAATTGTATTTGTTACATTAAGTCCTGGGGCTGCTATTATTGATAAAATGCTTATAGATTTCTGAAGAAGGATGATTCAGATGGGACCACAGCTAGGGGAACCATGTCTGTGCTGATCTAATATGCTGCTCCAAGCCCACTAAAACAGTATTACTGTTTCTCTCTAATTCAATAAATTATGAGGACAGCACACCAGATTCTGATTTACCAAACTGTTCCTAGGGATAACCCAGAGAATTGTCATAAGAGATAAAATTTGTGGAAGACCCCACACTATAGACCGGGATCCCTCATTTGCTTTGGAAGAGACATATTGCACTTTAGTGAAGGAGGAGATGGGCTTTGAATTAGAGTCTGGCATACTTGAGTTCCTTTTGGAAATGCAGCAGCAGGAGACATTGTTGTCTGTGATGCAAAGTGTGCACGCTGCCTTCAATTTGTATGTGTTTTATTGCTGGAGTCATGTTACTGACAGGATAATGAAATTGCAAAGAAATTGTGTTATATTCAACTTTGCCTTGATAATATAAACACTTGGTTCATTTTTTCTTCTTTTTTTAATTCACAAACTAAATTCATCAAGAAATTATAAAATTATTTAAAAACTCTGTGCTGCCTCTTTCTTTCAGTTCCATTGTGTCTTGTGTAATGTTTTCTCCCCAAATATTTGGGATTAGCATGGGTTGTTGTTTCCTAGAAGGGATGCAGAATGTTTTTCCAGAATGAGCTATTCTCTTTCTCTCACTTACGCCTTTCTCAAGAGGCTATAGCTATAGCTGAGACATTTGATCCCAAGTCCCCATGGTATGAACAATATTGCTTTTAAATGTCCCTCACCAGGTTGTTCCTACCTATACTCTCACTTTGAGGAGGATGGTCCTCACCAAAGTGACAGAGTAAATTAAATTTAATGTTGATAAATGTAAATTAATACACATTGGAAAAAATAACCCCAGTTATACGTACAATATGATGGAGACCAATTTAGCTACAACTACTCAAGAGGGAGATCTTGGAGTCATTGGGAATAGTTCTCTGAAAACATCCACTCAGTGTGCTGCAGCAGACAAAAAAGCAAAGATGTTTTAAATTGTTAATAAAAGGATAGAGCAGGGGTGGCCAACCTGCGGCTTGGGAGCTGCATGTGGATCCCACACCCGTGACTCAGAAAGGGACAGTGTGTTTCTGTCTGCATGGGATGCTGGTGCAAACGTCTGCTCCCTGTGCTCACCAGGGCAGGGGTGCCATCTGGCGCGGCCATTCAAAATGGTGTCTTCAAGATGGTGGCAGCCAGCAGAAGCCTGATGTGGCCAAAAAGCCTTTAAACGTGTTTCTTAAAGGAGAAGTCTTTTTTTGTTTGTTTGTTTGTTTGTTTGGCTCAACAACTTTGCCCCGGCTCTTCACCCTGTATCCCCTGCAATTTTGGCTCTTTGTCCAGAAAAGGTTGGCCGCCCCTGGGATAGAGAAGAAGACAGAGAATATCGTATTGCCTCTATATAAAACTATGGGACACCCACATCTTGAATACTGTGTACAGATATGGTCATCTCATCTCAAAAAAGATATATTGGCATTGGCAAAGGTTCAGAAAAGGGCAACAAAAATTATTAGGGGTTTGGAACAGGTCCCATATGAAGAAAGAATAAAAAGACTTGGACTTTTCAGCTTAGAAAAGAGGAGATATGATAGAGGTCTATAAAATCATGACTGCTGTGGAAAAAGTAAATAAGGAAAAGTTAATTTACTTATTCCCATAATATAAGAACTGGGGTCACCCAATGAAATTAATAGGTAGCAGGTTTAAAACAAAGAAAAGATTTTGTTCATGTAGCGCACTGTCAACCTGTGGAACTCCTTGCCAGAGGATGTTGTGAAGACTAGGACTTTAACAGGGTTCAAAAAAGAGCTAGATAAATTCATGGAGATTAGGTTCATCAATGGCTATTAGCCAGGATGGGTCTGAATGGTATCCCTGGTCTCTGTTTGTCTGGAAATGTATGACAGGAGAAGGGATCACGTGATGATTACCTGTTGGCTACGTCTACACTGGCACCCTTTTCCGGAAATGCTTAAAACGTAACAGTTTTCCGTTATAAGTATTTCCGGAAAAAGCATGTCTACATTGGCAGGATGCTTTTCTGGAAATGTAGACGCGCTTTTCTGGAAAAAAGCCCCAATCGTCATTTTCACGATCTCCCCTTTTTTGCGGAAAAGACTACTGTGCTGTCTACACTGGCCCTTTTCCGGAACAGTTTTTCCGGAAAAGGACTTTTGCCCGAACGGGAGCAGCATAGTTTTTCCGGAAAAACACTGACAATTTTACAGTAGATTGTCATTGCTTTTCTGGAAAAGCATGCGGCCAGTGTAGACAGCTGGCAGGTTATTCCGGAAAAGCGGCTGCTTTTCCGGAATAAGTGGCCCAGTGTAGACACAGCCGTTGTGTTTACTCCCTCTGAGGCATCTGGCATTGGCCACTGTTGGAAGACAGGATACTGGGCTAGATGGACCTTTGGTCTGACCCAGTATGGCCGTTCTTAAGTAACACCATTTGCTTCTGTTTATTTTTTTTTCCTTTGGAAGAATGTTGCTTTCTCCTTTTATCCATCTACACAGCAGATTCTGTCACTCAAGTTTTTTGCTTGTTCCATTCCTGTTTCTCTTCAACTAAACAAACAATTTAGGGGCAGAACCTACAAGTACTTTGCATAAAACTATTATTTACTTTAATAGGCATTCTGCAAGTGACATGTCTACAGAACCAGGCCTTGAGGAAGTATAAGACAGACACGTGTTTCTTTAGAAAAAGGGCAAATTGATGCTGTGACCCAAAAAAACTCAGAAAAGATCTTCCAATTGGAACTACTTTTTCATCTTCTCTAATGGTGGGTTATTTGTGGGGGAAGCACAAGTTTGGGGATTTACATGTAAATACTATTATACAACACTACTGTTAGTAACTTTGAAGAAGCTATTTTCTTGTAGTGCTATGTGTATTAAAATTTGTATACATCCATGCGTGTGCATACACAAGCACCGGCTTTCTCTTTCTCAGTGTGTACCAGGGGTGCGCTTCAGCCGCTGCTGCAGTAGCAGTAGCAGCAGAAGCCCCAGTCCCTTTTGAATTGTGGGCAGTTGCCCCTTTTAACGCCCTCCCCCCCCCCATCTGCAGGGCTGATCAGGCCCTAAGTACCACCTGCTGCTGCTGCAAATGTTTCCTCGCATGACTAAATCATTGGGACTGTGTCTGTAAGGCAGGACTAAAAGCGCAGGTTCAGCTCCTCTGTTGTTCTCCTATGTATGGAGTTCTGCACAGATAGAAATTTCTGTCCGGCATGACTATACTGCTCTGAGCCCTGCCCACTGGGTGAGGTACCAAGCTCATCCAACACTCCTTTTGCCGCTGATGTACCCACGAGAGCCCTGCACCTCTGCAGATAGCGATTTATAGCCACAGATACCTGCATCTCTGGATACAAATTTGAATCTACCCAGGGCTCTACTTGAAGGCAGTATATGGGAAGAAGTCAGCCTCAACCAATGCCTGATGTGGAGTCATATCTGAACTACTCAGCCCACAGCTCTCTCTAAAATGAACCCCAGATCTGACTATCTAGGATGGCTCCAACTCTGTCCTGGAGCTGCGGTTTTGGTCTAGCTCATTATAAAAATGTCATTCAGATCCAGAGCTAAGTTTGGTTCAAACCCTCTATTGTTGTCGTCATTCTTGCATTAATCTGCCTATATAATTCCTTTGGTTCCAGGGCTGTACTGTTAGGGTTGCCAGGTGTCCGGTTTTTAAACCAGACAGTCCAGTATTTGAGGTTTCTGTTCGGGAAAGAAATTGAAAAAATATAACTGAGAAAATGGAAAATGTCTGGTATTTTCTAAATAAGATGTAATGTAGATTGTGATGTAATGTCAAGTGTGTCTGGCATTTTTGTTGAAACCATCTGGCAACCCTATGTGCTGTAAGAATCTAGTACAATCATTTTACAAACGTAATTTAAAGGCCTCTCACATACCCTAAGCCTGAGCCCAATCAAGCCTGCAGGTCATTTTGTGTTTAACATGCTCAGCTACTTCCCTTGACAGGGGTATCTAGCCCTTCTATACAGGACACTTGAGCAGGCTGGCTTAAGCAAAAAAATGCTTCTGACGGAATAGTGCCCTGGTGTATGCCTCTCCTTCCACCCCACTCATGTGCTGATCAGACTTCCCTGAGGATTACAGTGGCCACTGCTGCGCCCCATCTATACTGGCGTTGCCAGCTGCACTGAATACTTTGAACTGTAAATTTTGAATTTTGAGGACTTTTGAACCCAGTTGCACCTAATGGCTTTGGTCATTGAAATCCTCAGGAAGTGAATCAGAATCCTGTCTCATCAAGCAGTTAAACATTAATCTTGATGGTGCAGCAGAAGCCTGAGGCCTGGCACAAAGTCACACATTTTTTATTTATTTTACTTACCTTTTGCAAGAAAAACCAATCTGGTAGCAATACTACAGAACTGGTTCCTCTCTCCTTTTCTCCTTATGGCCTAGAAAATTAACACTCGTTTTCAGCCAGAACCTTTTCAGGGAACCTATTAAAGTCTTGCATGTGTCCAAACTGAGGCTATGTAGGCTGGCATCCAAGGTGCTACACAGCTATGTAAGGATGTAGGTAAATTGTGATACACACACTTCAGGACTGTATGCAGTGGAGGAAGTTATTCACGTAGGCTTAACTTTGGCAGATCATGAGGTTGAAATGTCACCATGCACTTTGATTCACATGTTTTGTATGGGTTAGTATTTTCATAGCGTTGATTACTTTTATTCAATCATTTAAGTATAAGAAAAACTGCAACATTATTTTGGATATCTTGAACCATTGCCACATTGGAAATTCGTGGTGCTTTATGCGGATACCCTTATTGCTATAGATCCGGAATGAGGAACTTTTTGGGGTCAGGGCTACTGACCCACAGAAAAATCAGTTGGGGGCTGCACACAAGTGAGACCCCCCCTTCCTCCCACAAGCATGGGCTCCCCAATGCTGTGGGGAGCTTCAACCCTCAAGGGGCCAGATCCAGGCAAGCTGGGGGCTGCATCCAACACCCAGGCCTTAGGTTTCCTACCTCTGCTGTAGATTAATGTATTTTGGCTTCCATTTTATTTAACCTATCCTAGCTGCGCAGATATCTTTGCACAACTATTTACTCAAGAAACCAGTGTGCAGCTGCAGCCAGAGGACGCTTGAAAAGCTTGGAAAATCTGCAGGGTTATGGCATTACCAGAGCCAAAGTAAAAGGTATGGGACTCAGTTGAGGAGAGTCGGGCCTTTTGTGCATCTGTTGCAGTCGCTGGGGATCAAACATGCTGTAATGGGGTAGACCAGCCCCTGTGGCTAGAGAAGGCCATAGAGAAGTCCTTCAGGCTGGCTAGAGGGGTTGGGAAGAAACTAGCCAATCAGGAGCCAGGAAGGACTACATAAGAAGCTGCAACACCAGAGTCAGGGCAGTTGCAGCCCAGACCTGAGGGAGATAGGACCAGGGGTAACTGACTGGCCTGAGGGAGCGGCTCCATGAAGAGAGCTGCTTACAGACTATGAACTG